ATTTTTAAAAAAAGATGATTCTAAAATATCTGAAATTTCGAGTTATAATATGGGAATGTATGAGTAGTAAATGATTTGGCAAATACAAGTTCATTACTGGGCGTGCAAAAATTATTTTCAATATTTCGTAGGGATAATTTTGAGATTTGTTTGGGGATTTCCAAGTAATTTATTTAAATGAAACTATTTCACCGCTGAATTTTGCGAGACTTTAGTAGATTTCATGCTATAATACAGAGGCAATTATTGATGCAACATGTAATGTTGCTTTCTGTTGGTTGTTCAAATCGTCTTGCGAGCCAGTTTTAACTAGTTCGGCCTTGATCTTTATTTACCCTATCGTCGGTTCGTTGCAGAGGATATCTGTCTTTCTGGGTAACGTTGTTTAACTGAAGCTAGTCCACACAGAACCTAATAGTTTCATTTTTGTGGACCAATACTACCGGAGAAACCCATGGGCCGGTAGAAGGTTTAATCACTCTGTCTTTCCACATTTCTCAAACAATCCTTTCAGCTTTCTTTCCCTTGGTCTTTGGTAATCTTTGAGTTGATTGATTAATCGGCCTGGCGTCACCACTGTCAATTTTATGTCTTATAACAGAAATTATTCCTGTTGTTTCTCTCTTTGGTAGAAATTTCTATATTGTTCTCTTCTATAACTGTTTCAGAGATTGACCAGCAAGTGCAACCATTTCCTCGAATATGAATCATAGAATGTAGGTCCCTTTTTTGGTGATAATTAACATGTATGAGACGTAATGGAACTTCTTTAGCAGCCGTGAGCAACCCCTTTCCGATCAGAATTCCTCATCCAACCTCTTCATCGTGATTTCAAGCTTCCATCATGACAAGTATTCCTTCTTCCATAGTTTCTTGAAGCCGTGCTACTATAAAGGGTCTATTTCTACCAGGAACCACCGTATCTTTCTGGAATGGTACTGTTTCCATATGGATGTAGGAATACCTCTTAGGCACCAGCTTTATTCACTCTATTCTTAAAATCCAACTGAGTTCATTAGGTAACTTTATTCGATCCTAGTACAATATCTTCTTCGATATCAGCAATATTAACAGTGTGAGTAAATTTTTCTGTACCAATTTCTAATTGAACCTGGATTTTTCCATGGATATTAGCACTTTTACCTCTTGCGGTTATTTATAGTTGTTGGTCGTATAATGGTCTTGGTTGCTCCAGTATCTACTAACAGTGTATACTTGTCTACCATTTACTTTACCGTCTGACACTATCAGTATAAGATCTTTGGAACGGTCCGGGTCAAAGCTGCCCCCTCTAGGCCAACTTGCTCCAGTTGTCCTGCGGCAGGTTGAACAAACTATGTATATGTCCCAGTTCACCGCAATTGCAGCACATAATGGTCTTCGTTTTCATGTTCTTGTCAGTAAGGCTCTTCATATTGTTAACCAATTGACCGAGTTTATCTTTCTTTTCTTCCTTTTTCACAGTCCTCACTTTATTCTATCTAGCCGAAGCCTGCGTAGCTACCTCATACTCTAGAGCAGCAGACAAAATATCGACCAATATTTTGTGGCGGACTAAACGGAGTGTTTTTTGCATTTTATGGTCACGGAGTCCATCAAAAAATGTTTAGACAGCTAGGCATTCCATCAAATTTTCTAGAGCTGATGGATAAGCAAAGTGTACCAACCTGGCAATATCTACTTAGTATTCTTGATTTGTCTAGTATCGTTTTTGTTTTCGATTCTTTGGCTGTGACTGATACAAATGCTCCAAGTGTTTGTAGCCATATAGCATATTTAGTCTCTTTAAATCGTTCAAAGTCATGGATCTCTTCCACAGGTATAGTCTGAAAAATATCTAATGCGTCTCCTCGAAGAGCGATTTACTGTCTTTTCTCTATCAGACCATTCGTTCGCTCTGTCAGCTGTTACGAACTGTTTACAGTAGTTGATCCATGACAACTTCCTGTCGAAACTTGGGGCTTTAACACTCTCTAGAATTCCTTCCAATTTCAGTTTTGACTCCACCTCATAGCACTTTATTTCACCGTCCTTGGCCTGTTATGTTTTCGCTATTTCTTCTATCTTCATTTCCTTCTCTTTTATTTTCTCTTCAACAGAGAAAAAAATTCGTTTTTCATAGAAGAGATTTTGTTTTTAAAATTGAAAGAAATTTCAGTTTTTTAAAAGACATATAAGAAGAAAGTTTAGTATCTAAGAAGTAAATAATGGAAGAAATTTTAGTTTCCATTTAAGAAACATCAGACGAAACTTTATATTCTAAGGAAGACATTTTATTATCTTAGGAAGAAATATAAGAAGAAAGTCTATTTTTTAAAGAAGAGATCTTACTTTCCAGATCGGAATAAATTGGAGAAGTTATAGAAGATACATCACCAGAAAATAGATTCGTTTCCGGATATAAACTTTCACTTTCCTTTGCTTCTTTAAGCTGTTCTGCCAACTCTGTTTTCTTTTCTGCCATCCCCAGTCCAGTTTAATTTTCTAATTTTTAAAGCAACTCAACCACTTTCAAATCACACAGTTTTTTAGTCATTTTTAATCACTACTTATTTACAATATCTCAACTTCTGACACCAGTGTGACGATTGTTTATTTTAAACATTTTAATTATTTTAATTTATGTTAACCAATTACACCAGTATGTCTAATTTATTTGTAATCAAAACTACACTAATTTATACTTACTTCAACAATTTATCTTTATTCGACAATATTTATTCATAGACTAAGTAAAGCCAAAAGAATTTACTTATATACAAAAAAATAACGGCCTAGCAAAATCCAGTCCTGTCTCAAAGAATCTAGATGCAAGTCTAGACGTTCTCAAAATATTTTCTGTACGTGCGTAAAAGAACCTTCCAGTAACTTCTCGAGTCCCGAGGCCATTGGCAGTGGAACACGATAAGGTAAACAAAGATCTGGATCGGACTGGTTGAAAATGGCTCGCGCGACAAAATATTAACTACATATTTTAAAATGTTCAAGAAAGTGTGCCAAAAAACACGGTAAAATTGTCCTTCAAAGTTCTGTTTAAATTATTAAATAATCCTTCCAAATACAGGTGAGATTTTTTAAAATATTTTGTTGTTTCTTACAAATTATGCAAAATTTCACAAAAATGTCTCATCTATTGTGGTATTATCCTTGACAATTAACGTATATCTGTTTAATATTAATTTCATGATTAGGTATTAATTAAGCGTTTTCTAATAGTAAGATAAGAACATTGAAAAATAAAAATTGAAATTTTCTTACCTAGCACTTTTGGTCACTAAAGAGTAATTAGATTTCTTTTCACTGTTTATTTAATTTTATTTATTCCTTCAGGTACCAGCTATCCGTCAATATAAATAGCAATGGATAAAAATTATGAAAATTAGTATTGTATTTATTAAAATTTAAAATAGGTATAAATTGATTTAACTTCTTGTCAGCTTTTAAAAATACTAACTCTTTTAGTATACTTAAGTATTTGCCATTTTTGAATTATACACTTCGCCTGTTATCCCCATTGTTACTAACCGATACTGCCTGATTCAATATCACTTTACTGTTCAAAATTATTTCTTAATTCTTGGAGACGGAGCACCAACAAGCATTTGGCATCAAAAACCGGTCAAAATTATTTAAAAATTTTTTTATGGAGATAAATAAAAATGCTTGTGTGTATACGTTTATCAAATTATTATATATTAACATTGAAATCAGGTTCAGAAAATAACTAGTAGGAACAAATTAAAAAAACTAGTCAGATGCATCGGAATCATTCATTGCTCTATCTTGTTCTATTTTGTCTTGAACTTCCGGTCCTTTTGCCTCGAGGAGTTCTAAAGTTTCAGATGAAAAGGGCTGGCTTTTTCTCTGTTGTCGTTTTCGCTTGCAACTAAGGAAAGGATCGGAAGTCAGAAGAAGCCTATTTAAAACATCTTTGTTGAACTGAATCCTTGAAAATTTTCGTGCGAAATTTAGTCGGTATGAGCGAAGATGTTTGTTGCGGGCCTCTGCAGCTTCTTCAGATAGCTGGCCAATTGGTAGAATAGCGTGTTTTACAACTATTGCGCCATGCACAAGGATTTTGTGCAGAGTTGGTGTCATTTGATGCCACCCGTACAGCTCCACGTACATATTTGCAGTCTGTTTGGTATATTCCGCGAACTTTGTTGGGTTGATTTTGTGGCCCGATGATAAGTCTTCTAGGATAACCTTAAGTCTTTGTATAAAAACTTTCTAAATGCCTGTAATTTCAGCGGCTAGGTCCGGGTCACTAAAAAACCTTCGTGAAGTGTTGCTCGAATGGGAGTTTCCAAAACCTGCTTTTGGCATATCTATTATTAAGCCAGTCCTTTTTCTGTATTCCTTTTGGATTCGTTCTTTAACCGCCTTTTAATCTTCAGGTGTTTTTGGCCTGCCATTTTTTTAGAGTGAGTTTGTATGCAAGATGTATTATGGTCTCGAAGAAACGGATCCTGGCGTGAAGAATTGACAAGCCAAATCTTAACGACTGGGATTCCTCCACACCCGGATTTTCATAATCATTAAAGCTTTTAGAAGTTTTTCCACATATGTAACATCTCATGGTGCTCATTGCCGAATTGTACACCTTACCATCGACCATTGTCAGAAGCAATGTATGCCATACATAACTCACTCCCTTTAAATTTGGTATTATGGTACTGCGTAATTGCTTAGCTTGGTCCTCTATATATTTTATTTCCTTCTTTGTGATGTCGACAGTTTCATGCAGAAATCGAATGCGAATCGGTCGACAGAAACGCGTGAATGATGGCGTGGGGTTTTGTCACAAAATTTTCTTTACGTCATCAGTGTGAGACTGCAGTTTTAATGGGACCAAGAAACTTTGGAAAATACTTGAGTCATCACAAGAAGCTTCTGAAAACTTTTGTTGATACTGGGTTTGATGTAAACCGTTACAACCACATTTTGTTATAAGTTCCAGATTTTCCAATTCTGCCTCAGTGCAATTTTCAAGAACTTCCTCAAGGTAAAGGCAGAGTCTTGAAACGGTGTGGTCGAGTAAGAAGACAAACTTCTGCAGAAGTCTCCGTAACTCGCATTGCCTCTTGTTTCGGATAGCAATCCTTCTTTGCTTCTCTAATAAGGGTGTAACAAGGGTAAATACTCTTACTCGAATCGTGTAGTAGCTCCCACTGTTTCCATGTAAAGTCGCCTTCGACGAATAAGGATAATGCTTCTTTAGGTGTGTATTTCTTTGCAGTTTTCGATTGTTGAGCATCAATGGCTTTTCTGAACTTTTTGGCTGTTGTCGGTAAAGCAATTACATCTTTTATAATTTTAGATGCCGCGGCGTTTCCTGAAGTACGTTGACTAACACTAGCTGCGTAAGTTAGTTCATCGACAGGTACCTGTTCCCGGAGTTCTTCAGTTTTTCGCCGCTTACTACGATCAGACAATTCTCGAAATTCCTTGCTTGGCCTTCCCGCCTTTACACGTGATGTCCAGGTATGTATTGAAACTGAACTATTAAGCCATTCTTCGTTTTTTGTGAAAAACCTTTCTTCAATATAGTTGAACAATGTCCACTTTTTTTTAAAATCTGATTTGAAATGTCTTAAATCACGACTCAACGTTTGTAACTCGTTTTGGGGATATTTCGTCCGTTCACGGAGTTTATGTTCTATAAATAACACTTTGTCATCTAATCTTCTTGCCGTGAATTCTTTGAACATCATATATAATGATCTCAGAGGCATATCAATAATATTAATTATCAGATCTAAAAAGAAACAAGGAAAAATAAAAACGTTGTAAAATTATATGATAAAAACATCGGCTTTAAACTGGTTTCTAACCAAATGGTGGAAAGATGTGGAAAATATTTTTCCTCAGATAACATTTCGAAACCCTATCGTTAACTGTAAAAATAGAATTGCGGATCGATTACCTCCGCCACGCAAACAAAAACACCTGTATATAGAAAGATCTTTGAAAATGTCTAGCTTTTTCGTGCGTTTTACTGCCAGGTAAAGATAACAAAAAAAAAACAAAATATAAAATCATAAAAAAGCAATACTTAAATAAAGTACATACCTTCTTCAGTGTTCATAACAAAAACTTTTCAAAATTTACTTTGAACTACGGAAAACACCAACCGAGATGTCATATAAAATGAAGCATTCCGAGAACAAAAAAGTGTGTATTGCACAGCAAATTCCGACTAGCTGCGCAGCAAAGTGGCGGAGTCAGGCGTACACTTTTGAACCGAGTTGTGATAGTACGGATACTAGGTGAAAATAAAATGCAATTTGGGTGATATTGAGCTAGGTTTGTATTTCCTACTTTTGACCGGTTTTTGAAGCCAAATGCTCGTAAGTGCGGAGGTGAGTGGCTCGATCGTTAAAGTCTGGATCCAAGAGTTATCCCACGTTGGCTGGAATATTTTAATTTAATTTACTTATTTAAAAATGATTTTGATGCCTAGGTAGAATTCTCCACTCCATTCACTATTGGGTTCTAAATTAACAATGCTAAAGTGGCGCAAGGAAGTAGTAACAACGCCTACATATTTTTTTGTTAGTTTGCATTGCACCTAGATATATATTAGCCAACCAGCAATTTGTCTTTATATTATAAACTTAACTAAACTTAATAGGATTAAAACTAAGAGTTCACCCAATGATATCTTCTTCTTTCTGTTCTGATAACTATACAAAGCACTCGCGCACTTTGCTCTGCTTTTACACACTTTCACATCACTAATTCGAATGGTTTGGTCCTTCTGAGCCTTCTCTTTAGGTATCGGTTGTCCAGGAACTGTAGAACTTCAATGTTTTTTTTTTTTTCATGTTTTTTTGCAATGGTTTTCCTCTCTTCTTCGACTGTAGGCATTCTTAGATCTCTATGTAAGTCCGAGTTCCTAACATACCAAGGAGCGTTAACTACTGCCCTTAACATTTTGTTCTGGAAACGTTGTATTGTATTTATGTGGCACACCCCCAGAAATGTATGCCGGAAGTCCATACTGGCTTCAGTACTTGTTTTATATATTAAAAGTCTATTTTCGATTGAGAGTTTTGATTTTCTATTCGTCAACCAGTATAATTTTCTATATTTAATACCCAACTCTTCCCGTTTTTTCTTTATGTGTTTTTCCACTTTAATTTAATAGAACCGGAGGACTGAGCGTCTTCGACTCTTCAAATTTTGAGAAGATTTCAATAGTAAATTTTTGCAAATTAAAAGTTTAAGAAGTTTGAAAAAATGTATATAATTTTATAATGTCATTAAATATATTATAATTTTCATCTAAATAGTGTTCAGCAAATTCTTCTTGACCGAGTTCATCTATTTGGGGCTGTAGATCTAGCATCTGTTTCAATACTATATTACGAGTTCACGGAGCCTTTTCACTAAGTGAGATTTCGTTCATCTAAATTTTCGACATAATTCTATATCTCGGGAACCACAAAAATAGGTACCATGATTTTGGTGTCATTTTTCTTCTCTAAGTGTCCCGAGCTTATATCTGAATTTGATAAGGTTTTGGCTTTCTTTATACCGAGATCGCGGCACGGACAGACAGACATTGGCACTTTAATATAGTGGGATCTAGGTTCATTCCTAAGTATTTCGCAATTAGAATATGGTATTCTAGTATTATTTAATGTCACTGGTAAGTATTCTACTGATCTTTTATTAGTGAAGTTAACCTGAACTGATTTAGTTTCGTTGAGCTTAATGCGCCACCTTTTTGTCCACTCATAAATTTTATTAGTTGCATGTTGAAGTTTTCTGGTCGATTCTTCTATGGTTTTACCGATGGCAAGTATGGCCATGTCGTCGACAAATGTGGCTACTTTCACATTTTGCGTTTGTGGTATGTCGGAGGTACACAATAGGTAAAGAACTGGTCCCAGAACACTTCCTTGAGGTACCCCTGCTTTAGTTTCTTTAAGCTTGGAATATTATTTTTCTTGTTTTACTCGGAAGATTCTATCAGTCAATTAAGATTTTAAGATGTCACAATATTGCCTATTTATTTATTTTATATTCAACGCCCTCTAACCATACTTTATCGAAAGCCTGAGCTACATCTAGAAAGAGTGAGGTGAAGATCTTCTTTTCTTCCAGTGTTTTTTCTATTTCATTCGTTATTCTGTGGACTTGATCAATAGTGGAATGCTCGTTCCTAAATCCAAATTGGTGGTCAGGTATTATATTTTTACTGTCTATCAGTGGTTTCAATCTTTTTAGTAAAAGTGGTGGTTTTCCAGGTTTGGGTATCATTATAATTTCAGAGACTTTCCAGATGCTAGGTACATGCTCCAGTCGAAATACAGTGTTTATTATATTAGTAAGTTTGATCTTGTAATCAGATCATACCCGGGAGCTTTCTTAGAATTGACATTTTCTTTGATTTCCTTAGCTACTATGTTTTTGTTCTCTTGTTTTAATAAATCAAGTCTTCGTTCTTTATTCGGTTGAAATTTTGTTTTCGAGATGATCTGCAAAGATGTCAACTTTTTGTTTATTTGATCTTGCCCAGTTTCCGTTGTCTTCTTTTTTTGGTGGCATATTAGCCGTTTAAGTTTCCTAGTCTCTTTCCACAGAGAGTAATCAGTATTTTTATCGTTCGTCAATTTTCTGAGATATGTGTCTATTGATTCATTTTTAATAGTGATTATTTCTGGTTTTAGTTGTTGTGTTAGTCTGTTGAGAACTACTTTATCTTCAGGGAATCTGGTGATTTGCCATTTTTTTCTTGACTTTCTCTTCTTATTTATTAGTTCTTTTATTTCTCTAGGGTATGAATTGCCTACATTTTTTCTTGTAATTTCTGGTGTATTGTTCCATGATGATGGCTGTATGTCAATGACAAATTTTTTCAGCTCGTACTCAAGTTGTTCTTTTGTTCTTATTAGTGCACTTAGTTCGATTCTATTACATAATTCAGTTTTAAAACTTACCTTTTTATTACAAAATGTGGGTCAAATTTCTTTTTGCATTATATTTTTGCTTAGTATCATTATCACTGGGGAATGATCTGAGTCGAAGTCAAAGTTTTCTTCTACACAGAGAGTCTAAGTATGTATTTTAAATTCAGTATGACTAATTCTTAATTGAAGTTAAATATTTTTTATTTGAATCCCGTCATTCTTAAATAATTAACATTGCCTTGTTCAATTTTTAAATCAAAAGCTATAAATAAGTACGAGCGTTATTAATTTCAAAACCAATCAACGATGTTTTAGCATACGTACTTAAAAATTTCTTAAATAAAGATTTTGGCATGCTTGGCTCAAAACCAAGCCCGAAAATATTTATTTTTTGCTTAAAATGTTTCCGGGTATTTTTCTAGTGATGTAGAAGTCCAGTAAGTCAGATATTTTATTTATGTCGGTTGGCCAATAGGTTGGTTTTCCTGGTGACGGGTAGTCACACACAATTTCACTTGCAGCTGCATGCAATTTCCTACCTTTGGTGGTTGTTAATCTCGAGCCCCAGATGATATTTTTGGCATTAAAATCACCCCCCAACATAAAATTTTATCTCATTTGTCGTAACAGTTCTCTACATTGAACTCATTAAATATATCAAACTGAGACTGGCTAATTAGGTAAATACCACTAAGACCATTAAACGAAAAAAATGTATATGTCTTTTTCTATTTGTTCTAATGTCTAAGATATAATATTTCAGTTTTTTCCAATGCTGCTAAAACCCTCTAAATTATTCAGATTGATAAAAATTTCGCTTTTAATTTAAGAACCGCTTGTTTATCTTTTATTTGTAACATAATAACATTCACTTTTTGTTTTTATTACGAATCAGTTGAATTTAGTATGCGGATAGATTAATTCGTATCCCTTCGACCATGCGTTATGTATTTTCGCAGAAAAAGAAGCATGCGGATATTTTTCGATTCCGTAAAAATACGGTTTATTACATTTCATTAGAAAATACCAAAATTCCGTATGCGAAAGTCACTCGTATGAGTTAGAAAATAGCAGCCCGTTATCAGCGAATTTCCATGTTTCTTTAGGTTCCTATATTTTACACTGTTTAGGCATCCTTCTATATTGCCAGTATGAAAAACCATTGATTCCTTGGATTTCCGAGTTGGTAAGTGTAAATATCTTTTATCGTCTATTCATAACAATACCGGTGTGAAGTTAGCAGTAACTTTTAGCAGTAAAAATAACCGAAAACACCCGATCGGAAAAACAGTGGCGTCCGGCGTACAACTATTGTAATAATCTTGTCAATATGTATTTTACACATTAATAGCGACAAATAATTAATATACGGTTGAAAATAATCCTTAAAATTAATAAAAATATTTATCCTATGAAGGAAATCAGATCGCAAAAAATCTTATCTTCAAAATAAATATTAATCCTATGAAATCGACCAGATTTCAACTTGGTTTTACATTTTTAAAATCATAAATACACTTACTAAAATACGCTACAAGAGACAATCCCTTCGGACCCGTCAAACAGGGTGAAATTAACTCTTAAACTTTAAAATAAATAAGTACTTAATGAAGACGATTAAATCCCAACTTGATTTTAAATTTAAAAAATCATAAATACACTAACCAAAGTACACTGTGAGCGAAAATCTCTTCCGACCCGTCAGACAGGGTGAAATTAACCCTTTAACATTAAAATAAATAATTACCCTATGAAGACGATTCAACCCCAACTTGATTTTAAATTCAAAAAAT